CAGAGAGCAAACCCCATTCCATTCTAGCACTGAAGATGTTACCTAGCCGGGTAACAAAATGTTTGCAAGAAAACAACCAAGCTCAGAGAACCCCCCAAGGACTCCACAGAACCCTGAGCTACACCTGTTCACTTCTGTTGGAGCATCTGCATGTTTAGTGAGTTTTGGGTGCTTGTAAGGATGTAGTACTAAACATTTTCACATATTATTCCTATGTTTTGCTAGCCACAGAAAGAGCCCAGGGTCTTATAAGTGCCAGTTGGGACACCAGTTTAGCAGTCATTGATGCTTACTTTGTTTGTGGCTAAAGAATTAACAGACAACCCCTCTGCTGACGATCATGACACAGTGTCAGTTGCAGCCCAGTCATGCACTGTGTTCATGGGGCGTATCCCCAAGTGAGCTCTGTGGTTTTGAAGGCATCATTAAGGTAGCACAGTGTTATCTGCGTTTGCATTTGAATCAAAGGGTGTGAGTTCCTCTTCATGTTGAAGCTTGATTAATTTTTCTGCTAGGCTTCATGGCAGCATTGGTGGCTAGGGCATTGGGGGTTAACTGGCTTTCTCTTTTGCAGGGGCTGAATTCGTCTTGAGGCCTTAGTAGCAAGTGAGATCATGGAGGAAAATGGTGAAGATGTGGCTTCTCTGGGTAAGAATCTCTTCTCTGTCATTGTGTTATCTTAATATTGGGTGCTGAGATCTGTTTAGAAATTGTTACAGCAGTGATTGTGAACCTCCTCGATATGACCAGATTGTCCCTCCAGGGAGCATAGTTGCGTGTAGCATTCAGTGTGCTATGATTGGGTCTTCTTTCTTATTTATTTTCTGGGCCCTTTGGGCTCTTTAAGTTAAAAAAGAAAGTATTCTCACTCTCTTCATTCAGTAATGTAACAAAAAAAATGGGGGCATGGAAAATATCTCTGGGATGGAAAAACAAATTCTGTGACAATTGTGATTGTGAATAAGTCATGGAATAATAGTTAATTATAAACTGAATATGAGCCAGCAGTAGGATGTGGCTGCAAAATAAGCAAAGATAGTTTTAGTCTGCTTCAATAGAAGTATGCAGGAATTTGGGAAGGATTGTCCAGCAGGGGTTGAGAACATGGGGAAAGAAACAGGACCAGACTTCAAGTAACTCTGACTTAATTACGCTAAGTATAAGTTGACCTGGAGAAATACTTGAGTAGGCTTTCAAGATTCTGCTACTTTACTTTATTAGCAGTAAAGCTCTTTCCAGAGAACAAAGTGGTTCTTGTTTCCTGAGTATGCCAGCCTCAAAGGGCTAGACAGAAGTAAAAGTTCCACTATTGGGTTGGTTGGATTCCATTTTAAATATTGTGTACAGTTCTGGGCAATCCAGTTTAAGAACAATGAAGAATTTAGACAGTCTTGACACATGTAAGGTATCTCAGGTGGGGGGAGACAGGACTCTTTCTCTAGGGGGAAAAAGCCGTAGCAACAGATTGTTGTGCAATCTGTTCAGAGTTCTTAAAGATTCCTGCCAGCCTCTGCATCTGCACAGCATTAGTACAGCTCCAGAATAGTGTGAATTATAGTGTTTGGATAATCTGTAACAGTCCAATGGGTGTCTTAAATTAGACCATATTTACGTTAATCTAGGCAATTGTACTGTATACTTCTCAGGGCTCAATTTCTTGCTGTACTAACACTGTTGTCCTAGCCTGGAAAAGTAGTCCTGATTTGAGAAACGATCATTTTGTTGAGAATTTCACACAGAGCTGTAATTAAGAACAAAAAAATCCAAGATGCCACCACCATTAATATTTCTAGACATTTGGGCAATTGCTTGCCAATATATATCAATCCCTGCAGTCCATGTTGTACCAGCATTCAGGTAATATTGGTGTCCTTTCTAGTTGCAATAGAGATTATGCTTGCTTGACGTTGAGAGCTGTGCGGGCTACTTGGCTGTGTGCTTTTAAGGCCTGTATTAATCCAGCAGTTGCCTAATGGTAATTGCACTGAATATCCCATCAGTTATTCAATTTAAAAGACTGTGAAAGTTAGAGAGAGTTCTGGAGCCATAGTCCATCTCAAGCACCCTTGATTATCTATCTTTTCTGTGAACTTCTGGCTCCGACCCCATTTTTGATCATGCAGGTATGAATAAGCCTTGGTTTGCCTTGGCTACAAGTTGGCTGGAGTAGAGAATGAGAAGACTGTTTCAGGGCAAGCCAAGATGGCCATAGTTGTGGATTTCTGAGTCTTTGTCTGTCCTGTCTGGGACTCTGAATGATCTTCTGTAAAATGAAGTACTGAATTTAGACATCTGGGTAAGAGGCTGGCTCGAGAAACTCAACTGAATCAAAATTTCTATAGAGTTACAAACTGCATTTGGAAAACCTGAAAGGAGCACCACAGAATGCTGTAACTTTGATTCAGTTTGTCAAAACCTGCCCGACCTGTTGAAGTAGTTTCGAGAGCAACAGCATCTACACAAAGCCATTACGCTGCTTCAGTATAATATCTGGTGGGAACGCATAGGCTTTAGGCAGTTCTAAAGGGGAGTCCCAACAATATGGAGGAAATAAAACAGCTTCTTTTAAAGATGAAAAGGCCAGGAAAATTCCTCTGGGTCGGGCCTCTGCTCCTTGACTACTGTGGTTCCCATCTTCTACTTCCCAGCCAGTTTTTTGCCCTGCCTGCATCCGTTAGCTCCTCTGATACAGAGATGAGCAGCCTTTTGGGCTCTTAGGAGTCACCCAGGTTTTGGGGAGCCAAAGGCTGATGCAAAATGGGTGGAGTGTGGCATGCAGGTGAGAAGGGCAAGGCACTTCCATTTCTCTAGGTTTGGACTGCATCCAGGACTGTGTTTAAGAGCTCACACTACAGTTTCTCTCTTTCTTGCCTCAAAATAGTGGGAATCTCCAAAACAATTTTTGGCGCTTGCAGGTAGTGTGATGGCAGGGGGTGGGGAGAGAGACAGGTAAAACTGGCTCAAAGATCATATGAGGCTCCAGGGCCTCGGCTTGCCCACCCCTGCTCTGATGCGCCATTTTGTTTCCTTTCATTTGCCTCAGTAGGCTCAAATTATGTTGCATTCTTTCCTTCTCTCCCAGGCCTGAAGTTGAATATTTTCCCAGCAAAGGAAATAATAAAGCTGAGGGAAGAAAAAAGGATTATGTTCTTTATTACCACCATTTTAAAAGTAACTCACTGAAAGAATAAATCTTTATAAGTAGTCAAGTGGTAACGGCTCCTCCGGCATCCATTTCAGAGAGAGCAGCAATTAGAGAACCACACTGAGGAGGATATATTTTTTTTAAGGCAGGGCCTGAGCGCTCTGTGATGATTGTGGCTGGAAACCATTTTGATCCCTTTTATTCTTTTCAGCCCTATGGCTTTCTTATCGCTGAATGCTGATTGGGAACAAACATGAGCCTCCATTTTTTTTCCCTTTCTGGGCAAGTGAGATTCATCGTAATGTTCTGGCTGAAGTTCCAGCTGGATGCTTTTTAGTTTTGCTCCAAGGGGGGAAGCTGAAGATCTGTCTTCTTGAGGAAGTTCAGACTAAAACACAAGGACTACTGGCTGTAGTGAGGGACATTTCTCCTTTTGTTACCAGATATTTTCCTGCAGTGTTTTTAGCTTCATTTAAGCCCTGGGCCATTTTTGTGCAGTCTTGACAAGGGGCTAAACGCAGTGGTGGTAGCAGCAGCTAAGGAGGAGGACAGAGGAAAATGGGTTTAGAGAGATTGTGCTTGGGCAACTAGGCAGATAGGCCCATAAAAGTTATTTTTTTAAACTAGTATATGTTTATGTCAATCATTTATGGCACATAGATGACTTAAAAGGGGAATGAAAATTACATAATATTTCCCTGCCAGATTATATGGGGGTTCGCATGCAAAGTGGTTTCACTCTAGCTTCAGAATCTGTTTTTCATTTTTTTTAAGCCAAGTTTCCAATCCTCATGGTTAGAAGGTACAGAAATTCAGCTTTATTTTTCCATCAGTACACTCCTCTTGCAATTAAGGCATCTAGAAATGACTGCCTCTAATTTTGTCTGTTTCTCTTTTCTCCTTGAGCGGCCTACATTTCAACAGATGGCAGCTACACAGGTGAGTAATTGTTGTTTTGCATGTCAATCCATGAAACTAAATCAGCCGTGTCTATAAACCTGCTCTGAAATCTTGTGATTGGAATATATTATGCAACGTTGATGTATTTTTTAAAGTATATTTTTGGTCAGGGGCTAGGCTAGTGAAGGTTAAGGAGGGATGGAACTTTAAAACTGCTTCACACATTACGCTAGACACGTGTATTGCACTATTGTCGCCTCTTGTTTTTTCACATGCAGACCCCCGTGTCATGTTCTTGCGGTGACACGTGATTTCTTTGCAGGCCAACTTGTGGGAACAAAGATGCGAGATGTGTGTCTCTCGTAATGTTTGTGTGAGATGCAGTGTCTCAGTGGGGGAATTGCCAGCATAATCATAGAGTGCATTGTACAGAGTGTCCTGTCTCTCTCTATCCGCACTCTATCATTAGGAGCTTCTTTGTTACACCCTCCCCACTAGCACTCCTTTTACTATGCCCAAATCAATTGAAACGTTTCCTGCTACCATTGTAAAATTCCCTGCTGCCAATAGCACCGTGTCATCTCTGGAGCACACCATGTTGTCTGATACCCTTCCAGAGACCGTGCCCATGCCGAATCACGGCACACTGACGGCTTCCTCGCAGGGCTCTTCCTCTGCCACTAAATCAAGGCGCCAGCCTGTTTGGACTGACGAGGAGACCCGGGCCTTCATCCAGGTGTGGGGTGATGACGCGGTGCAGAGTGCCCTGGCATCAAACTATCGCACAGTTGCACAGTTCCAGTGGATAGCGGATGAAATGCGAGCCCGGGGGTACAACAGGGATTGGGAGCAATGCCGCGAACGTGCAAAGGTCCTTCGACGGGGCTTCAAAGAGATAGTGGATGGGAACAGCAACGCTGGCCACGGACGCCGCGTGTGGCCTTATTACGAAGAACTTAATCGATTTCTTTGCATCAAGCAAAATCTGGTCGTTCCACGGCTTTCAGGGAGCAACCCGAGGCCTCCTGTGGACCGCCGACGTCGCGAGCACAGAGAAGCGCAGGATGCCCCCTATGAGCCATCCTCAGTAGGCAAGGGCGACAAAGGGACTTTTGAAGAGCCAGACGGGGACTGTTTGTTGTTGCCGGAATCAGCAGGATCTCAGCAGAACGAAGCCAACCTGGAAAACCAAGTGGCGTCTCCAGCAGCAAATTCTGATATATCCATGGATGGTAGTGTTGGTCCTGGCACTCCCACCGATCCTTTGCCATCCAATGACTCAGTTTCTGGTGAGTTTTGCTTGGATTTGCCGTGTGTCTATAATCGGGTTTTGTATAATGTGTTGTTTCAGCCATCCATGGATTTCTAAGCACCTTCTTTTCAGTTAGTTTGGACGCAAGGGCAGGTGACTTAAGGACGTGTTTGAAATATCATCAGATAACTGTCAGAATTCCTAACAAAGTCTGAGTAGAACTTCATCATTCAGGGGAGCAGGGTGTGCGTTCTCTGCCTAACTCTTCCTCCTACAGAAAACAGAATATGATTGCATTAAGCAAACGTTGGTATACAACTGCATAATTTCAATAATACTTTTGGGTTCCAATTTCTGGCTCTTCCTTTCACATAAACAGGGCTGCCTTGGTATAAAAGCTGGATTTCTTTAGGGCAAAGGATATTCTTTTATAAGCGTACCAACTGACGCTGATGGCTGTCTCCAAAATGCCATATCTTTTCTTCATTAAATGCCCTTTCTGATGTTTATTCCCACAGCGCCAAATCTGCGCCCTCGGCCCCTGACAGCTGCAGAGAGGATGCGAAATCTTCGTTGCCGGCAGAGAAAGAGAAGGGGGGATACTTTGAAAGAGCTGATGGAAGTCACCTCCCAGGCTACCAGCGAACTTGTCCGGACATTGTCCGACCTTACACATAAAGAAGTCGCTTCTTTTGAGCGTGCTTACAAGGAGGATCTCGCGGCCCGGAAGGACGAGATGGAGCAGAGCGCTGAGGACATCGGAAGGCTTGTAAGCGCTCTGGAATCAAGTGATCAAACTCTGAAGGAGCAGCTAAGTAGCCAAACCAGCGTCTTACAGGGCATCTTGGAGGTGATGAAAGACATACGGGGTAGAACGTCGTACAGTCCTCCATATCCATCACAGTATTACGATTTCCCAGGCCCTAGCATGATTCACACAAGTGGTACTTCCTCCAATGGCCAAGAGATGCCATGCCCCTCCCCTTCCAGCCTTCCATTTTCCTCCCAGCAGTCTGCCACCAGCAATGGAGATGTCTCTCCCAGGAAGCGGATGAAATGAAACCGTGAGGCAGAGCGGCATGGCTGATTTAGTGTCCTGGTGAAAACCAGTTCTCCAGTTCTTTGTTCCTGTTAGGACACATATATTGCTTTTCTTACTGCCTTTCTTCTTGCATAGTTAGAACATGTTCTCATCCCCTTATGTGTGTCTCCCCACAACTTTAACGTTGTGGAAACAGCTGCCAGCAATGTACATCTAGATTTATTATTACTGTTTTTTTTTAGTGTACCTATGTTAGTTTTCCTTCCATCCTGTTTCCAAAGGAATGCAGTGTTTGATGTACAAGTATAATTTTTTTTCTAAAAAAAAATACACTTAAAACACATTACCAGGTACCTGTAAGAAGGTAATCTTTTAAAAGTAATAAAACTGCACTGTTGTTCCAAGTTGTTCAACATGTGTTTTATGGTAATGTTTTAAGGCTTTCAGGGTTGCTAAGTTGGATCAAATTGGTGTGCTAATTCAGCTTTCTGTCTTTCAAAAATGACTGCCCGGTTATCACAGAAAAGTTCACCATAGGGAGTGGTGCAGTAGTCACTCATTAAGAACGTACTGAAGTGCAAAATCGAATCTGCATTTTATGCACATTTTACTTTTCCTGAATAGTTGGGGTGTGTATTTGTGGAAACTTGTTCCATGCTTTTACTGCACTCAAATGAGGAAGTTGACTGCAGCGATGGGAATTCTGCAATGTATCACTGGAGATGACAAAATGCTATTTGAACATTCCTCTCAAAGTGAAACAAAAATGAACCACCCAGATTGCTGAGAAGGGTATGTTTTCTCCTTGATGGGCTAGTTTACAGTACAAAAACAGCCTGATTCAGATTTGATTCAGCCCCTGCGTTCTGAAGTGGTATGGCCTCTTCTAGGACCTTGCCTCGTCTTCCTGCATGTGTAGATCAAACTCGAGACAACCAAGGGTCTCAGGGCACCTTGAAGACCAACAAATGGACCATGGACTGCAGTTCACTTCATCAGAGGCAGAGAACAGGGCACATCTATTCCTTTCCCAGGAATATTCCTGCACTGGATGAAGTGGATGGCAATCTGTGAAAGTGTACGTGGCGGGAGAAACCTGCTGTCAGTATTTGAGACATCACAAGGGCATTCACTGCTTTTCCTGCTAAAGATTAAGATGGCTACTTCTGTGGAAACAGTTACCTAGGAAGTGAGTCAACTAATTAGTTGACCGCCTGTCTGTTTCCTCAAAATTCAGGCTAGATGTGTCTGGGCAAGCTTTCCTGTTGAGGTCTGCATTACCTCCATCTACAGCTGGCATTCCAGCTGTGGGAGTGGCCTGAGATGAGAGTGGGTGGGACCTAATCTGCAAGCCAAGATCCCCTATTCCTTGCCAGCTGTTCCATAGCTATCAGAGTTGAATACCGTATTATGGGTGCTTAAGGAATGTTTTTTGCATTGACCTTTCTGCCCCATTCCCCAATATTGTCATGTGTAATGTGAATTAATAATAATAATAAAAAAATCACCAGTCAATTGCAAAAGGCAGCTTTACTTGGAACAGCTTACATCCTGTGTTGATACTTTTAACATTATTAAACAATAACATCTGCCTATCCCAGGTCCTCGGGAAGGACTCAACAGGTGGACAAAAATGCCAAATGCAGTCTAAACATCTGGCTGACCATGTGACTAACCATAATAATTTATTAAATGTATATGCCGCCCAACTTCCAGCGACTCTGGGTGGTTTACAATTGTTAAAACATTTAAAAACAAAGAACAATACAAGCTCAGGACAAAAGAATAACAATGGCAAGAAAATAAACCCAGAGGGAACAGAAGGGAAGAAAGGAGTGTCAGTCCTCCTCCAAAGAGCCAGGTCTTTAAGGCCCTTAGAAATACTAGTAGGGTGGGAGCCATTTGAATTGGGGGGGGGTACCTCATTCCAGAGGGCAGGTGCTGCTACAGAGAAGATGCACTCTTGGGGTCCAGGCAGGTGGCATTGTTTAATTGGTGGGACAAGTAATCATTTTCATTAAAAAAAAGTTCTGTTGATCATCAGGAACTGAGGCTCCCATATCAGATTGCAACAGGGAGGTTGCAGATAGTCAAGAATAATATATTGTACAAGTACTAAACTACATTTTCTAAAAAGTGATTGATGGACATGTTTTGGATTTTGCTTTCCCAGTCCTCATCAGCAATTTTTAAGGTGGAGGATCTGAAAAAACTGATCTAAACAGCCCCAGTCTTGTCAGAGTTTCTGTAAACCACCGATTGAGCAATTGAAGTGACTTCAGAGGCTTTGTGATAAATGGGGCTACCTTGCCTTTGCTCTGGGGAAGGGATGAACTTCTTTATATCTCAATGAATTCTGGGTAGGATCGATAATCTGCAAGTAAGGAAGTAGGGGGTGAAGAGCAGTTCAAGACCTGCATGGAAGAGAGGATGAAAAATATACGTAACAGTTAAGAAACAGTTTCCAATATGGCCATTTACTTAAGGAGAGTTAACTTTAGAGAAGAGAGAATATTTGTGTAGAAGTAACAGTATAGGAGTTAATTGACAAGACTTATGGTCTGGACACACTGCATTGTGAACTGGAAGAGCTGTATAATAGATCTTGTAGGTTTGTTTGCATATTCCTCTTAAGAGGAGGCTGCTTTCAAGGAGTAGAGTGTTTCCAAAAGTGCTGGTAACCTGCTTTTTAAATCCCTCATATATACATAAGCCACACATGTAAAGTTCTGCAAATTCCTCTACTGAATCAAATTTACATGCATTGATGAATTTGGAGGACAAATTGGTGCACTTCCTTGGGCTATCTCAACTGCAGATTGTGATACCAACAATGGCTTTACAAGCTAAAATTACATAAAATGTCCATCTGATAGGACTCCTTAAACATTCCCTCGAGTTCCTTCAATTCATGCTTCTCATTCATACATGTATACAGTACTGTATATATGTAGAGACAGTATGTAGAATATGGGAAGAATGCACTCATGTAGAGCAGCTTTTTCCAGCTTGCTGTCTGGGAATTTTTGAGTGTAGAAATCCCAGGGTATCTGATGAGGACCAGTTTGGAAAAGGGAGATCTATTGTGAAACATGCTAATGTAACAGTGTACATTTTAAACACAGCTGCTGGAATGTGACTTTGCAGTTTCTGCTTAAGGATTCAGAAGTAAACATTTTTAACACTTGATGGGTGAAACTGTCTGTAAACCCTCAACCTTCCAAGTTCTGATGAAAAGAAGGGAATTGCTGGATGGAATATAGTATTGCAAAACTATGGAGAAACCTTAAGCTTCATTGAAAAAGAGAATGATTACAATGGAGTAGTTATTTAAGTATCTATATAACGTCTTGCTTCTTAAAAACAAAGGGTATTCTGTTACAATACCTAAATGGTCTTTAGCCATTTGCATGTTGCCTTCTGTCTGCTTATTGCAAGGGTTGTAGAGCTTGAACATGAGACTTCTATGGTTGAGGTGACATAGAAAAGTACAATGTACAATGGCTGATCCCCTCTAGATGCATTGAGGTTGCATTGCAGAGAAACCAGCAGCTGTGTGTCTTGCAGTAGAGCCCAGTACGATCCAGGCGTGTGGAAATGGAGAGAGTTTTCTGATTAATATGCTCTAAATTTGTCACTGTAATAACTCCAGGCTCAATCCATTCTGTGTCACATGAGTAACCTCATATATGGCTGCTATCAAAGGAATAAAAAATAAAAAAGCCATGGTATTCCATAGAGTGTCACTTTCCATAAAGCAAAAGTTGGACTTTGAAGAAGCAGGATAGGAAGAGTATTGAGATCTTTGAACTTTCGTGTCAGAGAAGACTCCTGAGTACCGTGGACAGCCAAGAAAACAAATGATTCATCGAACAAATCAACCCAGAGTTCTCACTCGCGACACAAATGACCAGGCTCCAATTATCCTACTTTGGACATATGATGTGAAGACCTAGCTCTCTGGAGAAGGCTCTAATGCTGGGAAAGGTGGAAGGAGAGGACAACCAGCAGCCAGGTGGATGGACTCAGTTACAGTGGCCATGGAGGCACCCTTGGGAGACTTGAAAGAATGGGTTAGGGATAGATTGTCATGGAGAAAATATATGTGGTTGCTAGGAGTTGAAAACTATTTTATGGCACATAATCAAAGGAAAGCAACATTGGACTAGTTATATTCTGCTACAGTCTGAAATCACATTTAGTCCACATGCCACAGTGATGCTGTACTGTATTTCCTAAACCAAATACAGAGTGACTGACCACCAGACAGAGAACTAGAGAACAACTTTAGGCCAAGGAGGTGAATGGTACTTTTAAGTCTACCTACCATTCATGTTTTTACTCGTTTAATTACAGGTTGGCAGATGTTGCTTCTTCCTGAAAATGATTGCCACATCAATGATGGAGGCATTTTTTGAATGGATATCCTGCCCCCAATACATGGGTATGAATGTGGCTCAAACACCTCTTGCTGCTTTGATGTGTGTAACAGCATTCATGTTTTTGGTCTATCATGTAACCCCAGTATTTGCAGCTGTGGGACTGCAAATTCCCTGTAGCATGCTGGGTAGCCACTCTGGGAATTGCAACCCCAACATTTCTTGACGATGTCAGGCATCAGTTTGGCATGAATTGCTGATTTTGACCCAAATGGTAAAATGTCAGCAAGGAACAGGGTTACTATTTAAATGACTAAATCATAGTGCCTTGCAGTGCTATGTTAACGTGGTTCTGAATGCTCCCATTTGTGCATGAAGGACAGCAATGCAGATCAATAGGCTTCCTAATGTATATCTGGAGGTACAAACTGAATAATAATTATTTTTATTGTGCTGATCCTTTTAAGCATTCACTCATACAGAAGGTATTGTGAGTCTGGGAACAGACAAACCTGACTCCATTAACCATTTCATAGAAATCTAACTTCTGCATATAAGGTTGCATTTTTTCCCCTTGACTTCCAGAACTTCTGACAGTTGTGATAAGTTTTTCACCGGCATGGAAATGCAACAACGATGTGGACGCTATACTAGTTGAACTGCATATCAGAATTTCCTCTACCTGGGAAAAAAAATCTGCATCTTCAATACCATTCTCTAAACATTTCTCAGAACTTTAGTGTCCTGGATTCCTTGGGAATCAATGGAAACACTTAAATCTCCTGTTCATAAATAAAGCCATAGTACCCTCATTTTCCTTTCTCTTGTAATATATGCATTACAAATATATTCCTGGCTTAAATCATTGTGAAAGAGGGAAATGTAGAAATGATCCAAATCTGCCAGAGACCAGTATATTCCAAGTTGGAGAAAATAGGCAGGTATATCCAGGATGGGAAGATAGATGGGAAGCCTGTGGAAACAGGAAAGTGCCTCAAATTAAGCCTTTCTATTACTTAGCAACAATATGGAAACCAACAGAAGAGAATATCCATAGTTTTATTTATTTATTTATGATTAAATTTGTATGCTGCCCATCTTCCCCAACGGGTGACTCTGGGCGGCTCACAGTAACAAAACAAGCAAACACACCAATCCCTCCAACAATGACCAAAATCCATAAATAATTAAAATACAAACATACGTTAAAAATGTCCTAAAACCCCCCTGTATATTTTAGCCCTAAAACCTTCAAGATGCTGGGGGGGAGCCAAAACCCATCACCCCATCCGCCAACCCCACCGAAGCGAGCCCCCACCCCGCCCCCCGGCCCTT